CAATATTTTAATCTAGAATACAGACCTATATTGAACTACGATCAGCTGCCTCTTCCTGGCACATCAGACACAGCATACAAATGCAGATCCTTTGGTAGGATTGAAATCCAAAGCACACAGGCTTTGATGACAGAAAGATAGGGCAGACTAGGTTAGCGTTCTCTGTGATGGATTCTTACTTCAAGGCAAGCTTTGTCATTTTGACTAGTTACTCATCATTTGTTTACAACCGTTTACCCTCTGGAACATACATACCAAACAACGAGAACCTGAGTGAGCCCATGTCAAATTGTTTGTTTAACAGTAAGCCCAAATAAATAGTCACTGAATAATTTTAGAACATTATGAGGTAGTGAGTAGCAGTTTTAATTAAAAAAAGCATTTACCCTGGAATAAAGAATTATAAGGATGCTCACTTAGCACAGCACCAGAGAAAATGGAGTCCGTGTTAGTGGTGTTCATTCTATGACATGTGCAATGCAAAACAACATCCAAGCCCTTGGGGATAACAGGCCAACAGCCTTTTCCCTACACTGGAAAAATGAGCTACACCGTCATTCCTCGACATTGCTCATAGTTATATTATGTGTCTAGTTTTATTAATTTACCAACAGATAACTGCTGTTCTCCCTTTGGAAGTTTTCATAGTATTTAACTAAAGCAGGAGTTGTAAGGATAAAAGTCATATTGCAGTTCCCTGCATCCATAGGTGTGTGGGAATTCATTTCAAATGGCCTTGACCTCAAGACTGAATTTCTATTTATACTCAGATACTCAGGAAAACTATAAAACATTTCGGTCTAATAAAATATAAGATTTCTTTATATGTGTTCCTCAGCTCAGAAACACGCTTTTATAATCTACTTATTTACAGTTACTAGGCAACTACTGATTATTCCCAAGAACAATTTCTCTTGGCTATTTACACTTTAAATTTATAACCAGTTAAATTAAGTAAAGCCTATATTAAAAGTCTTACCCCAAGGAATTTTTGTTTTGAAAGGAAGTTTTTCCCCTAGTGATATGGGCAGAACTGATTACAAAAGGATTACAAAAGCACATTGCAGATGACCTGGAGTGATCGCCAACTGTGGAGCAGATCTGCCTCCCATAAAGCTTTTGATGTGTAAAATCGGGCGATGGCACATGGTAAAAATTAAACAACATCATATATAGTTTTAATATAGTAAATACTAGCATTTATGTTATGTTAGGAAAAGTTTAAATCTTGTGTTTACATGTAAATTGTGAAAGTTAACTTTTATTTCTTCATATGTTGCTGCCAAGAAACATATGAACATACGAATTCCCCCTTTACTGTCAACACTGATGGTAGTCAGAATGACCCTGCAAAGATGCCCAGGGACTGACTACTTCACAGACTGCTGCACTAGGAGGCTAAAGACCCTTTTTAGATGCTATAAAGTTATGGGTAATAAAGTACACATTCAAATCCAGCATTAAATACATAAGCAATCTCAGCTTGTGATAAGAAATAAATAAAATAGTACAAGTACTCACAGCAAATTAATAATTCACAATCTACATGTGTGGAAAGGTATAATACTAGACCATCTGCTTTTGCAGACACTATGGATGATTCCTTAACAATAACTTAAGAGTTTTATTTTTTGTATAAGCAGTAACAATAAGCCATTATAGGATGAGATAATGAAGAAGAAATATTTGGCATATATGAACCCACCCCTGGCTTAGAAGTCATTTTATTTGGAGAATGTGGCCACTGCTAGGTTACCCATGCTCCAGTGGATGGCCCCCACACACTCACACATGGGTAACACAGTTGGACTCAAATGGTTATTAGGAAAAAAAAAGCTAAGATAAAGGGGGACCTGTTTCACACACACACACGCAAGCACGCACGCACGCGCACACACACACACACACACACACACACACACACAGAGATCTAACAACTATTTATAACAACCAAACTGTTCTGTAGTTATACAAAAACATGATCTGATTCTGTTGTTACTAGGTCAAAATTACTAAGTTGGTAGTTGGAACTAATCACCTATTTTAAACATGATTAAAAATGTAATGACATAGAGCTTCTGAATAATTAATGAAGACAACGACACAGAGGCCTTACTCTTTGTTCTCTAATACAAAGGAAAGGGCTACCTAGCAAGGAACATTTAAAATTTAAAATAAAATGCTCACCAACATCACAGTGTTTGTGAAGATAAAAGTCTATGATTTGTTATGTGTGGAAACCAAGCCAGTATTGTTAAAGAATCTCTGTATGAGCTCATGGATCCATAATTTTGAAACAGAAATGCTGTGTAAGAAGTGTACAGAAAGGCATTGGCCATGGAGAAATACTGACCAGTCTCTTCTTAATTCTACAGGTTTGGCTCCCATGACAAAGTCTTCTTAGATCTTTTTTTGTAATCCTCCCTTTTTTTTTCTTTTTCTTTTGTCTCCTCTCTGCAATATCCTTCCTGGATGCAACTCTAAAACTCAATCTTCCAATGAGTATTGCCTCAGTTTACCGCTCTTTCATCCATTGTGTTCTTCTCAGACAACTCCAGCTTTAAGTGTAGTCTAAACATCATAACTCTCATGTTTATGTTAAGAGTTAGTTGAATATGTTTTGGGTATCTCTGCTTGGGGATTGCACAGATATATAAAGTCAAGGTATTCAGACTCATTCCTCTTGGTCCTTCCCTACACATTCCTCTTCTGCATACAGTATTTGTTAAAGGCACGGCGATCTACTCATGGATCAAATAAGAAACTGGGGTGGGGGCAGCTTTGGAGCACCTCTTTCTGTCTTCGTGTCTCCCCTGTTGCCACTGCCTGAGTACTAAACTTCCCTGAGTCTATCATCCCTTCTCTACTTCCTCCCAACAGGAGTACCGTGCCGACTGTCTATCAGCCTTGTCTCTAGGCAGTCAGGCCAGTTGCTTTCTGTTAGTTACACAGAACAGCTTACTCATTCTGGTGCATATCCACCTGTAGACCTTGCTCATTATGGTTTCTGTCTAGAGCCTAGCTCATGGTCACTCTAGTCATTGAGACAATATTGTAGATCTGGGACCCTCTTCTCCAAGGATGAACTCCTAAAGCTCTAGATTGGGTGAGAGTTGTCCTCTGCGTCTCCAGTGCATCTTCTGTGTAGCTCTAGTTGTAGCCCTGACAGACTCTGGAAGCAACACATTAAATATTTGTCTGTGATTTAAGCATCCTGACATAAGTGACCTTGGCTTGCCTTTGTACTTGATGTACCTGATACATAGGAAGTACTCAGTGTTGGCCAAAAAATTTCATTGAGTATGATTGATTATGTAGGTTAATGCCAGATATTATCTAAGCTTTAGTCTCATTTTCTTATTTTGAAATAAAAAATAAATGCATTTTAATTGACATACATAAAAAATAAAAAGCTTATGTTAATTGAATGTGATGTTTCAAAAAGTGTATGTATTGTGTAATGTTTTAGCTGAGTTAAACACCCATAGATAGCATCTTCATTCCTTAAGGTCTTTTCCTGAAGCCTTTTGCAATGCCCAGAACACATTGCCATAGTTTTCCTGCAGTGCAACAACAGCTGGACTGCCTTGCTTCTGTCCTAGTGCAGATCAATATCCAGGGCTCTACCTCTCTGTATCCCCCTTTCTTCATTAATTTGATGTGCATTTCTAACTCTTTTTAAAACACAGACTATTTTAGTGTGACTTCATATTTACAGATGCTTGCAAGTTTAAATAAAGAATTGCAATAAAGTTTTAATTGCTAGAAAGTACAAAACCACCTCTCAATCAAAATCCCAACATTTACTATGTCAACACATTTAATCATATATAAGTATTATCTGTTTTTTAAATCAATTAAAGGTAACCTGTGCATCTGCAAATTAAATTTGTTTTATATAAAAGTGAGAAATAGCATTGTAAAACACCAAACAAAAATTACAATAACAAAACTTCTATCAAGTAAGCTACAACTAGAATTTAAAACTATTATTAAATAACTATTGCAATATGATGTTATTACACAAGGCCCAACTTTTATAATCAAAGTATGGTTTGCAAAAGCAAGATTAGCCGGGTCCAAGAATTAATACAACTTTTAATTATTTTGTGTTGTAGATATATACTCCAATTTCTTATAAAACGAAAACAAAAACCTTTGCATCCAAACAGAAATTAGGTTTAATCCGGTTTCCTATAATTTATTTTACTATAAAAGAACACCACATACATGCCTTTGTTTAAGTAGAAGATATGCTATTATTTTCAAGATACCAGGGTTTTAATGTTTAATTAGCAACATCCTTTTGAAAAAAGGCATTGCTTTGACTCACAAATTTCTTAATTGCTAACAGTGGCTTTTCTGAGTAGGAGTGCTGTGTATAATTTATTTTTGCAGATGTAATTAGAAACCGAATTTGAAAGTAGCAAAGCCTTGAATATCTTCACTGTCAGCAGAAAAAATCCCTCCATAGCAGCGGTTAAAGAGTACTGCAGCTTGAAGTTTTAACAAGGAAATGAAGACTTAGCGAGGAAACTGATAGTACCGGTAAATTTTGTTTACAGACTGAAAAGAAAGTTAGGTTGTCGGCAATAAACACAAACTATGAGGTGTCATCTCCATCACAAATTGCTGGGAATGAAAATTAATACGGCAGGCTCCACGGTGAGGAACCTAGGGAAAAGCAAACGTCCTGCAGACTAAAGTTGCCTCACAAAAAGGCTTCAGCACCTAGCAGTAGCCGCCAGAGCTTCTCCCCTGAGGAGCAAAGACACCCATTTTCAACTGCAGTCCAAGTTCACTTTGAAACAGGTTGTTTAACGCTGCAAAAAAAAATTTGTTGTTACTTTTCAGAAGAATGCACTAGCCTAACACCCTCCTTTGCTTCTGGACGATGTCACCATCCACAAATTACTGTGATAAAATGACACGAAAAGAATGTATATTGTAATGACAACTCAATACGAACTCAAGAGAAACAAACAAACAGAAATTCCTACCGGTTTGGCTGAGTTGAGAAGCGCTGCGACTTTTCCGTGAGAGACCAACAATAGCTACCATTTTGGCCCCAATGCTAGAGCGTCGCTTCTTGCCACTGGTACCCAAGGTGCCCACGGCCGTGTCCGACTGGCTGCCGTCGTTCTTCTCCAGTGAGCACATGTCTCCGCTGAGGCTGGTGCTCTTGGTCATGCTCTTCCCTGACAAGCCCATCTGTCTGCTTTGCATTTTGGATGTAAAGACACTGTCAGCCGGTGGGTCATTAACAATGAAGATGATGGTGAGAAAGGAAAAGACAGAAGAGGCGTTTTAGATGAAACACCGGGAACACAACAGACACATTTCATCAACTTTGGAATGTATTCTTAGGATTTGGAGTTTAAGTAGCATGGTCTTGAGTATGTTCTGTTCACTCTCCAGACAACTCTATAACACATAAGGCAACTACGCACAAAATCAGGCTCAATTCTGTTTCTACTCTCGAGGCACTGGAGGCACTGGTTTGAATGGTCATGGAGAAAAACAAACTTGAAAACTCAGAGCTTTGTTAAGAGCGGCGGTGAGGCAAGGCTATGTGTGCTTTACGTTTAAGTAGGCTTATTTAATAATGGCTAAATCTTTTAAGAGAGCTAGATATTTTCCTTAGTTTTACGTTTTAAAAAGTTGTTTCACTTGATTTTGTACTTTTGGTGTAATTCAAGTTTTCAAAAGACTCCCTTTATATTTTTGCACAGTCAGAAAACAATTAGTGAACCAATGAAACGTGGCCGTGGACTGGGGACAAACTGCAAGGCTAGGACCTCAGAGGAAGTAAACTGAAGACAGGACTCAGAGTTTTCCAGTCACTGGGGAGTTGTGGGAGGTGGAGTGGGGATGAGCATCTGTGAGCAGCATCCAGCTGCTCCCTATAAATCCCGTAACATGTGAGGGGAGCAGCCTGTCTCAAAGGGATTGGGAAATTTATTTAGATGTCATCATTTTGATTTGGCATTAGAGTCATAGTTTCTGCTTTACTTTGGTCCTGACAATGGGGCTGTTCAGTATATGAGAAATAAAAAGGAATAGAAAGCCAAGAGACGAAGACATCTACACATTTTTTCCAGTATTACAAAGAAAAAGGCCAGTGTGAAAACTTAAAACTACATTGCACTATTTTACTCCTCATATCAATTTTAACAAGAAACAAGGCAGGGAGGAAATCATTGCTTTTATTTTTACAAAAGCACACACTGGAAGCTTACACATTTGTTTGATTTTGTTATTCTTTAATAAGAAAGAGAAAATAGAGTAAGCGTTGGGGAAAGCAGTCATCCAGTTGAATCCTAGATGCACCGCTACTTCACTGACATATTTTGAAGAATAATTATTTGTGCTACTCCAAGCCATAGGATTTTCATTTACAAAACAAGAATATTTATTTTAAATAATTTGTAAGGGTTTCGTAAGCTGACAAATGGAAATTATAACATTAGGGAGTATGTAGAGGTTAAAGCCCTCCAAAATGCACTATATCTATTTAGTATGGTTCACGAGGATGACATTTCTAACTAAATTGAAGAACCCCAAAGGATGGTTTTATTACAGCCAAACAGTACTGTTGGAAAGTACACAGCACTGACTCAGGACACCAGGTTGACCTTTGGCTTTAGTGACTAACCATATAACCCTGGAGGAAGCTTTTCAGTTTACTGCAACATAGTAATATCCTTATTTAGGGAGTGAGAAACATGAGGTAGGCTCTAGGCAGAGTGTTAGGCTCAGAGCCAGAGCAGCAAGAATGTTTTCCTTCTCATAGCACCACACTGCCGTCATTCAAAAACATTCTACAAAGTGTCTCAAGCACAAGGCCTGTATCTATGAAATACCTTTCTTTCCAGAGAGCTCTTCTTCCATAGATTTGGGGTTACACACACACACACACACACACACACACACACACACACACACACACACGGGTTTAGCATATTAGTTTTTGTTTTGTTTTGTTTTTATTGCATTTTTGAGACAGGGTTTCTTTACATAATCATCCTAGTTGTTCTGGAACTGATTTGTAGACCGGGTTGGCCTCAAACTCACAGAGATCTGCCTACCTCTGCCTCCTGAGTGCTGGGATTGAAGGTGTGCACCATCATGCCCAGCCATATATGAGTTTTGGAGAATGTTCCTATCAGAAAAAGAATAACCCCAGAAGTCCAAAGTTTTGTTGAGAGGAAGGTTTTAAAGTAAGAACTTATGTCCCACTGCCATCCATAATAACGGTACTATAGTTACATAGGAAAGTGCACCGGGCATGCATACCTTACTAAAGAACCACCTAATCTACCACATAGAAAGCAAGACAGACACAAACAATATTTTCTGTTGCATCAGATGCATTTTCATTTTAATTGTCATAGTTGGATACTAAGGCCTTAATCAAAATCAAGAAAAGGGATAAGTGATACTATCAATTTGTAGATGAGCCAATAAAAATTGTGATGTTACTGTGGTCATATAGACATACAGTCATTTTAACATAACCTTGAACATCTACAGTGGAAGTAAATGGAAAGTTTCATCAAGTGTGCTTTTCCATCCCTGTGCTGAGTTGATGAGCAGTTGCATTCCACCAGCATGTCTGGAGAAGGAGGTTGAGGCTTCCCTCACTCGATACCATCTAAAGTTAAAACAATCGAACAAATCATTTGGAAACTCCTACTTCATGAACTCCCTAGTATTAATAAATGGTCACACATGGTGGCCTTCTGAAACTGTTACTGTTAAGAATGTAAACTTGTCACTCTAGAAATTAAGTCAGAGGATAAGTTGTTAAGGGTTTGAAAGAAAAAAATTTCAACACTGCTGTAGGGCAGTGTCACTTCTGTTTCCTATTAGTTTGTTTCTTTGTGTAATGTTTTTATGTTTATTTCTTTGCTTTTGAACACACTGGCTTGACCTGGCACTCCATATTTAGACCAAGCTGGCCTTGAACCTGTGGGTACTCCTCCTGCCTCTGCCTTCCAAGTGTTGGGATTACAGGTATACACGCACTGTACCTGGGTCAATGATAGGTTTCTGAAGAGAAACTTGGCAATTATGTTTTAAAATCAAAATGTTTAGCCTAGAAATTCCACTTTCAGGATTTAAGCTAAGGTAAAACTCAATGAATACAGATTTGGCTGCAATTATATTCATTGCAAAATTAGTAACAATGTAAAAAAACAACCTAATGGAAACAAAGTAACAAATCTATTAATGTTCAGTTTAAAATTGTTTTTCAATAAGGAAGAATATGCCTTTGAAAATGTGTATGTCAATAAACATTTATTAATATGAAAATATTCTTGATGGGAGATGGGAAGCAGATATTTGTAGCTTCCTTTTGCTGGCACATATTAAATAGGTATTTACCCCATACAAAGGACACAGACAAATCAAATTCCTGAAAGGCAGTGTCAATGAGGAATTGTCTGGATCAGGTAGTCTGGGGGCATGTCTATGGGGACTGTCTTGATTGCAATAATTTACATAGAATGACACTGACTAAAAGTGGCGGTGCCATCATCTGTTCATGGATCCTGCACTGCTGAGCACAACACACGTGAACTCACTCTCTCTGCCCTTGGCTGCAGATGTGACCGGCTGGTGGGACCCCTCCCCTTTGACTACCTTACCACACTGGACTGTGAGCTGGAAGGAACTGTGAGCTAACATGAGGCCCTTCTCCCCTAAGCGGCCTCTGACAGGATATTTTATCACAGACATGGAAATGAAGACTGGACACTAGTCCAGATCAAAGCCACAGGAATGAAGACTGGACAATCAGTCCAGACAGTTAGGGAAGCCTGGATTCATGAACCGATTAGGTACATGATAGGGAATAAAGGGAATTGTTTGTTCAGAATGATAATTTTAGTAGAAAATACAAATATATGGCAAATATAATAGGAAACATATGTATGTATGTATATATATTTGAACTAAAAGCAGCTTTAATTTTTTTCCAGCAATATTTGCTTAAAATGTAATTTTTTTCTGTTCTGGTTTTCCAAGAATAAACATAAACAAATCAGCAATGATAACAATAAGACAGAATAAATTAGAAGAGGCAAAAGAAAAAAGCAAGCAGGGACCAACGGTACATTTTCTTTACATAAGCAGAAAGCATTGCGCCTTTGTTCACTCCATGAACTTCCCGCTGGGTTGTTAAGCTGTAATATGATTGACTGCAGGATGCTCAGTTCTAGGCAGGGTTTTTATATTTCTAAATATTGCTTTATTTGTGTATTCTAAGATTTGGCTTTAGAAAATACAAACTTTACATATTTTGTAGTTTTAAAGTTAGGCATATAAAATTCTTAATGCAAATGATCAATTTAAAAACAAATTTATACTTAAGATGAAAAGCCAGATCTAGTATTGGAGGAAAGTAAAATCGCTTTCCTACAAAGTATTTGTAAATATTGTTCAAACACATACATAGAACATATATATGATTGTATTGACTGAAATATATTATTTGATATGTTTGAAATAATACAGCTAAGTGGCTTAGCCTTAATATTATGATTTGTAAGATCATGGACATAGGAACAGCACTGTAAATAAAATATTTTCACATGTAAACTAGTGTTTCATCACGTGGAAATCTGGCAAGTGAGGAGGACAAGACTTAGAGGATGGTAGATTTTAGACTTGGTAGGTAGAGATGAGAAGGTCCAGCAGCACCGTGCAGTTGGGTATGGGAAGCACAGCAGGGGAAAGCTACACAGTGAAAGAAAAGGAAGTGGGTTAGCTAACTGCCATGCACTGTTACCTGGAGAGGCAGGCCTCGACTTCCTTCCCACTCTTTTGTCAAATGTGAAGAGATGATCTGTTAAGATGATAACTCTCTTGCATGCAGATGTTTGTGTGTGAGGGTGGATGTGCCCATGTATCCATGTGACAAGTCCAGGGGTCAACATCAGTCAGGTGACAGATGCCTTCTATTGCTCTCTCTCTCTTGTTTTTTGAGGCAGTGCCTCTCACTGAACATGGATGGAGCTCACTGATTCAGCTAGACTGGCTGGCTGGGCAAGCTTCTGAGATCCTCCCGTCTGATAACCAGCTCTAGGATTACTGGTGTGAGCTGCTGTGCCTGGCTTGTACATGTGTACTGAGCATCCAAACTCAGGCCTTCATGCTTGTATAACAAGCATTTCACCCACTGAGCCACTCCCCAGCCCCTGTGACTCATTCTTAATGGCAGTCTTGGCAGAGGCTGGG